TGTGTGAGTCGTCGTGCTACTTATGTATGTGCTGACATAACTAAGGGTTGACACTTAGGTACTCATGTGTGAGTTACCTTACTATCTGCCAGATCGGCTGTCGTCGTGATAGACAGAGGTGTCTGACACTAACTTATGAACTAAATGAGGTACTCATGTGTGAGTTGCCTTACCGGATCGGCTGTCGTCGTGACGGAAAGAGGTGTTTGACACCAACTTATTAACTAAATGAGGTACTCATGTGTGAGTTGCCTTACCGGATCGACTGTCGTCGTGAAGGGAAGAAGGGTCTGACACTTGGAAATAATAAAAGGAGACTCTTGTGTGCCCCGCCTTGTTAGCCTACCGGACCAGTCTCCGAAGGCGGTAGAAAACCTATGTATAGGTTGGACACTTGCTCTTTGAGGCTGGGATGATTGACATAATCAGAAGATGACAGTACTCCTGTGTGTGCTACCTCACCATCTTCAAGTTGATTAACTAGGATCTGCTTGTTGTGAAAAGTGAACTCAGGGGATTTTTGTACTAACTTCCTTTCTTATTAACGGCTCAGGAAGTTTCAGTCTTTGCACTTATTCAAGGTGTAGTAGGGGGCTCCAGAGAGGGTCATCCTATTAACACGCTTGAGTCTAAGGCTGGCTAACAACCTGCAAAAAGTAGGAAATCACATTGCTACTCTTTCTTTCCTATCTTACTTACCCTCAGACAGTTCGACCACCAGACCGGTAATAGGGAGGCTTATGTAGGAGTCATCCTATTACTTGTTTAAAGGATGGACTACTCACTAATCAAGGAAGTAGTAGGGGGACCTCTGTTGGGGTTTGCCTATTACCTACTTGATTCTGTACTAACTTACGAGGAGGTAGGGTACTCCTATAGGAATGCCCTAAACACTCGTCTTTTGTCCAAACTAACTCGGTCTCGGGCTGGTCAGCTTCGGAAGGGCAACAAGATGCCCTTGTCAGGATTATCCTTATACTCTCATGAAGAGGACCTTATCACGTGATAGTAGGGGGCTCTTGTGCGGGTCGCCTATTATTCACGCAGACCGTTATTAACTTCTGAGAAGGGGTTGACATCCAGATCTTTCAGAATGACACCTAAAACGAGTAGTAGGGTGCTTTTGTGGGAGCCTCAACTATTTGTTGTAGGAAGGGTGCTCATGTGTGAGCTATCCTGTTACTCTGAGCAAATCTTATATATACATTGAGTGAAACTAAAGAGGGACTCACATACTCATGTGTGACTTACTCGACTGTCTGATTGTATAACAGATTGCTTGATATTGATCATGTAGCAAGAAATTAATGTCTGAATCGACCTGCTACTTGAGAATGTTAACACAAATAGAAAAAAAAAGAAGGAACAATGCTCCTGTTGGAGTAAGGTCTCAAGAACCTGGAAAATAAATAAAGAGAAGAGAATTAGGATCGCTACAGAAAGAAGTTTAAGAGTCACTGCGTAGTCCATATCCGTCCATGGCTTTCGGATGGAATGCCACAATGATGAATGAGTTATATCTCATCTACGTAAGCGTCAAACGGTGCGCTTATCCCCAAGAGAGAAATGCAAGGACTAAGAGTAGAAAAAATATGAGTTTTCTTAAGACGACTTAGGACACAGGCATAAACTCCTTAAGTGAGAGGAGAGAGTGACAGACGGAGTAGGGTAGGGTTGTGAGAGTAAGATTATGGATTAGACCTGGGATGTCGATCCCAAAGCTCACTACCCATGTCTAAGGGCTTAACCCTTAGATATCAATATGTGAGAAAACCAAGTGGGGGTGTTGACCTTTTTTTGACCTGTATGTGTGCAGATCCCTTAGTATCTACTGCATTTGAAGGAAAAGGTTATACAGAAATGACCCAATTTTATGTTATCTCTCGATAACAGGTCGGTTGTTACTGATTCAACTTTTTCCCCGTTTGACTTGATACCCACGTCTAAAGTCAAACCCTGTGGTCAATAAAACTTTCACATGTGGTCATTACCTAAATGATCCTAGTCACTCTGAAGGGTCCTTTGAAGAAATGTGAGGAGGTTGGACTTACGTCTCAGGAAAGATAAAGTTGTCATACATGGTTTAGGAAGTGAGGGACAAGGTCAATGGTTGATAGTTGACGTCGTTAGTGCATGGCATGTGAATTGTCTTTGCATTATTCTGTACAGGTCTGTTTTGTGCGTGATTTTGGATTGAACTGAACCTGATCTGTTGAAGAGTCTCGGATACATAGCACTTGTGAAGAACCTTATTTGTTGAACCTGTCTTGTATAACTTCTATATTATCTGATATTCAGATAAGTCATGGTCTGTTAAGAAAGATAGACGCCCTCTGGTAGAAAGATGGTTTGATTGATATTAGTCAAGAAAATAATGCATTACACAGTAGTGAAAATATATTGTCTTTTAAAAGTTCGACCTGAATATCTAACGGGTTAGTTCTAGGCGTCTTACCGCGCGTACCCCATTTTATGCTACAGCGATCGAGCAAACGCCCTCGACCGACCTACCTCTACAAAGGCATGTTAAAACCTTCGCATGTTGGCCGGTAGCTCAGCATGGATACGCCTACCCGAGGGTGGTGACAACCCCTCGGGTAGAGGTAAGTTATACCTCGCGGCTCCCCGACCTGTCGTGGGGTGTCGTGAGAGGTATAGCCGGCGCGCACGGTCGGAGTGGTGACTAGTTGTTCTTCAAAAATAAATCCTGCGTGACACGACCGTGAGGTTCAGCGCTTCCAGCGGGGTGCGGGACCGCCGTGCGCGACAACGTGAAAAACAGGAATCGATCCACAACTATTTTTTTATGCCCTCTTTCAGATAAGAGAAGTCATAGAAACGCACCTAGCTGGCAGACACAAACGTATAATCCACTCATTTTGGATTGGCGACTGGCTTCACCGCCCAACGACGTGTCATGAGTGTATGAGATTTATATCAACGATCGTCTTAATCATATGATTAACATGTTCGATCAATCCTTTCAATTGTGATATATATGGGGCCGTATGTCCCAGTGAGACACCCATCCTTGACAAGACCTATTATACTTTCCCTTTAAATTGTGACCGATTATCCGTTAGAATTTCCTCAGTGTCTAAATAGGTATAGAGATATCAATCGATATAGGAGACCATCTTAAAAGCCCTACATGTCTTACATAGGTAGACTTCTATCCATTTTGAAAAATTATCAATTAATAGCATTTAATACTAATGAAACCGATAATTCACAACAGTTAGGGTTTTCGGGTACGTCAATAATTGCAATGTTCTTATTGACACGTTGAAAAAAATGCTATACTTTAGTGAACACAATCATATTCGGTACCCGATCCGTTGCACATACCATATAAGTTTATACCATATAAGTTTTTACCATGTGCTGGATATCTTCCTAAATAATAAACCATAACCTCTTGTTTCGTTCGAGAGTTACCTCAATGACATGCATCGCAAACTTAGCAGCTTGATCCTCGTGAGCAGATCTGACCTAATCATACCGTTGAAAAGGGTGGAGAATTGTTAACCATAATCCTGATCCGTTAGTTTTACACTTCTCTAGGCGATGATCATCTTTCCACCGGTAATCTCGGGATCTCTTAGTGTTATTACGTTGTCCTCCTTAGTATAAGCATATAAGGATTTGTCAACCAATTTAGATAATAAAGTTTTATTTGTTCAGACTTCATATCATCGATATTTATCGTCATAATCTGGGATGTTAATTCCCGAGGCTACAAATCGAGCATTCGTAGGAAGCTTACACAGTGGACATTCTCATGCCTTATTGCTCGTACGGTAACGAATGGATGTGCTGTGTGCGTATGACACACTTGACACAACCTACCTAGTCAGCAAAGTCATTGTGCGTTTAATATAAATTCACACCATAAACACGTGGGATGCAAGTACAAAAAAAACAGAATCTATCAGAAAAATTAGCAAAGAAGGAGGGGCAGGGGAATTCAAAGGGAGAGGGGGGAGCAAAAGACAAAGGAGAAGGGTTAACCATTGCTTATGTCAAGGATTATCAATCCTTCTGCAAAATTTTCGGCTCGTGTGCAAGCTCGTTTTTGGGTTCTGGATTGTTCCATGGTGTTACTTCTTCACTGACAGGTACTTCGCTTCGCCGCACGAAAACGTGTCAATCTGTCAGCATTTCCATGCCTCTTGTGCTTTCGATGGCTGATATCAAAGTCCATGCTCTGTAAGGTCGCTGCCCATCGTTCCATCATTCCGGAGTAATCCTTTGATTTGATTTCTTTAAAGCCAACAGAATTTTCGCCCATACAAACAAGCCTGGAAGTGGCCGACGCCCCATGACCTGCAAAGCATTCCCCCATAGCAGCCGATTAGTTCCCCTTGCATTCTGGTAGTCTTCGAGACGTACTCCACCACGTGTTCCAACCCGATCACAGCCAGCTACCGGTCATTCGCTTCAAAACTGTCCCGCCCCCTATGCTGTGGGTATTGGGGTGGTGAATTGGCCACAATTCCAGGGCAAGGCTGAAAGCGCGCCCGGAAGAGCGCCCGCCTGGGGGACAGGCAGCAGCCCCTTTTCGAATTGGGGCATACGCCTTCCTACAGATGGCAGTAGGGCGGGGCGTGGGGAAGCTGTGGGGCGGCGCAAGGCCGGCGCGCCGCATTCTGAGAGGGAGGGGGATAGAGAGAGCCAGGCGGACGTTCGGGGGCTCGGAGGCAGTTGGGGTAGAGGGCGGAGGCTCGGAAGGTCGGAGCCTTTGAGGGTCGGTGAATGCCTCACGCATGGCAGCCCCAAGGAGGGGTAGTAGTCGCCGCACGTGCCGATGCACTGCTGGTGCGACCGCTGCGGCAGGGCGAGCGCGCGCCTGCGGTGTTGGGGGCCCTTCGGTTCGACCTGGGACTAGCATGATCCAAGGATTGCCGCTCGAGATCGTTCCTTTTCGCGGCACTTCCTCCGCTGGTTGGCTGGCCGGTTGGCTCATCCCGTTGTGTAGTGGCGCACGCGCACGGGTGCCTGGTTTGGGTGTGTTGGGGCGGACCACATCGACGGACAGGCAGTCCCGTTCCAGGGGTGCATTCCTGGGTGCTGTGTTCCCAGACAGATGGTGCAGAGGCTGGGGGGAAAGTTGGGGTCCTCACAAGTTGGGTTTGTCCGCTGAGGGCGCAGCTGCTATTAGCCATGATCGTGAGGAGTCGAGTGTGGAGTTGGTGGATGAGTAAGTAGCACGGCCAAGAAGTGAACCACAAAGGCGTGTGGATGGACTGTGTTGTTGCTATTCTAATTGATTGATTGATTGATTGGCTTAATGGATCGAGTCTTCGACAGGTGGATTGATTGATTGCTTGGCTGGTGTCTTCTTGATCTCACCCTATTGGGAAGTGGAAGGAAGGCTTTCTCTCTGTTTAAAGAGGAGCCTAATCCTTCGTATGGCCGTCTCACTCAGCTCTCCTTAGCGATCGCAAGGCCTCTCTACCTACAGGTACACACACACACACACACACACAGAGAGAGAGAGAGAGAGAGAGAGAGAGAGAGAGAGAGAGAGAGAGAGAGAGAGAGAGAGAGAGAGAGAGAGAGAGAGAGAGAACAGGGGGGCTGGACCACTATCCATTCATCGTAATCGAGCGCAATGGCGTCGCTGCTGTGTGGATCGTGTCCATCGACAAGCTAATGCTGAAATGGATCGACAAAATGGTGTTGACTTGATGGTTTTGAGGGATATGCCGTCTTTTCAGGCCGCCCCGAATTGACTTATCTCAAGAAGGCAACCACTGAAGGACTTTCTTTTCTTGACAGACTCAGGACATTGCGTGATCTGACGCACAAGATTTTCAGAGACATACACAGGAGCGAACGAGCGAGCAAGACACAGAGAGAGAGAGAGAGAGAGAGAGAGAGAGAGAGAGAGAGAGAGAGAGAGAGAGAGAGAGAGAGAGAGAGAGAGAGAGGAGGAGGAGGTGGTGTACTATCTTCGTATTGCGAGGAAAAAAAAAGCTATTCGGATATTCATTTGCAAGCCGGCGGCGAATCAAGGAGAGCTCAGCCCTGTGCGCATAGAAGATGGCATGCACCTTCCTGTCTTAATGTGAGAAAAGGCCGCATGAAGTGACGTGTCTCACAGTGGGAGCATGGCAAGGCTGCCCGTGTCTAGGCAGGAATAACTATAGTCAGGCTGCTGTCTGAAAGGATTGCCAGTCGACGCTTCCTCTTTCCTCCCCTCTCCTCCCGCCCCCCCCCGGGGCTCGTTCCCCTCCACCAAGTGCGTGGTTAGTGGTCCCGTCAACGCATTAAGTCGGGCATCGGTGTTCGTGTTATTGGGGAAGGGGTGGAGGGGAGGGGGGAGGGGGGGGAAGGGGGGCGTTGGCTGGGATTGAAGGGTCGGTGGTCGAACGCGACGTGTGTGGGGAGTGTATTGGACAAGGGTCCAGGGTTTTGCGCACTTTGGGGGAGCCGGTTTTTGGAGAGTGTGGGGGGGAGGGGGGGGGGGGGGGGGGGGGGGGGGGGGGGGGGGGGGAGGGGAGGGAGGAGAGAGGAAGTCTTGAGGAAGCTTCTGGAAGCGGCGCTGGTTGACAGCGCGGAAAGCCTTACACATCTTGGAGGAGGCGATCTTGCTCGTGCACATCCTGCGATCTACGTGGCAGTAGGGGGTGAGGGGCTGTGGCAGGAGGGGTGACGAGTGGGCGGGGCCTTCCGCCACTGAAGATGGCTTCCGAGGGTGGAGCAGGGGGGAATGCAGCTGGAGCGAAAGATGCACGCGCGGGATCTGCATCTGCTTCTGCGGGAGACGCGGCAGTGTCATCAAGTGCGGTGTCATCAGGTGATGTGGCAGTGGCAGGAGGCGGGGGATCGAAGGAGGTATCCGCTGACGTGGCAAGCGCGCCACCTCGTCCAAGGGGAGCTTGGTCGCAGGTTGTGAGGGGAGCCGAGCCTAAGGGAAGGGGGGCTGGGGGAAGTGGCGGGGGCGGCGCAGCCGGACGGGGAATGGGAGGTGCTGGTGCCCCTCCGAGCCCGAGCCCTGGTCCCAAGGGCCCGAGTGGCGGCGGCGCTGGCGAGGGCTTGGCTGCCGTTGTGAGGGGTTCTGTTGGGGGGGCTGGGGATGGGCCAGCAGGGGGAAGTGGGCGCGGGGCGGGATCAGGTGGCGGCGATGGCGGCGCGAGTAGCAGAGGGGAGAGGAGAGCAGGCGGAGGGGGCTCGCGAGGAAGAGCGGGTGGGGGAGGCGCTGCCCATGGGCCCGACGGCGATCATCATCACCATCAAGACGGCCATCACCATCAGCAGGGAATTGGCGGCGCTTCTTGGAAAGCTGTGAGGCCAGCCGCCTCGGGGGACGCGAAGAACGTGCAATCGGACTCGAAGAGCGGAACAGGGCCAGGAGGCAGCCACGTGGTCGCCCGAGGACAAGCAGCCAGTGCAGGAGTGAGAGAAAGCGGAAATGCTAGCGGCAGCGGAGGCGGAGGAGGAGGAGGAGGAGGAGGAGGAGGAGGAGGAGGAGGAGGAGGCTCGTCTACATCAGGCGGTGGGGGTGTAGTTGCAGGGGGCGAAGCGGCGGCGGCGGCGGCGGCGGCTGCTGCTGCGCCGCCGCCGCCATCTCCGGGAGGAGGGACTTCAGGGTCATTCTCTGCCGCCGCCACTGCTTCGGGATCCGCGGCCCCTGATGCGCCAGGAGAGGCGGGGAACAAGGAGGCGGCTGCGCCGAAACCGCCTTCCAAGCCTGCCTGGGGGCGACCCAGCGGGCCCACCGCACCCCGAACCGGCGCCGGGCATTCCGTCGTGATGGGGGCGGTGTCGTGGCCAACCCTAGGCGACTCGAAGAATAAACACGGCGAGGATAATAAAGCTGCTGTTAAGGCTGATGGACCCGCAGTGGAACAGCCGGTGAGTGATTATTACGTATGTTCTTCCATTTATCTATGCTATATGCTCTCACATATCCATTTATCTATGCTATATGCTCTCACATATCTATATATGTGTATGATGATGGGACGAAGGTGGTCTTTCTATTTTCTATTTTCTATTTATTTTCTATTTATTTTCTATTTTGTATTTTCTATTTACTGTTTTATCTTCTCGTTTTCGTCGAGGTGACATTGTGCCAGCAGGGTCGGGCGTCTTTGGCAAGCATGGACGTGGAAGTAAGTATCCCTGTGTACCCTGTGTACAGCCGCCGAACAGCCCGATGCAATGCATATGAACGATTGCTGGGGACGGCACATAGGGGAAAAGCTTGTGAGACTGAGTGCGAGGAAAGGATCGTTCAGGGTGGTTGGTGTGTGGACAAGGTGTGGGGGGGGGGG